TTTTTTGTTTTGGGGAAAAACCCTTGCTCAAAGCCAAAAGGTGCATAATCCATTTTGAGATTAGTGTTAATACTTGAAACTTAAAGGCTATTTTGTTTGGACAAAAAATACTTTTAAAAAATAATTTTACGTAAATTAAGATTTTTTTTTTCCATACTTATTTTGCATATCAAGAAGTGTTTGGCTTCTAATCAATGACTTCCGAGTTTAAAAACTCAGATCTCGTAAGACGCTCCTCTTTCAGTCTTTCTTCTTTTATTTGTTTTTTTTTTTGGGGTAACGTAAGGGAACATTTGAAAAATGTTTTGAGCGGTATTGGACCACGTGGCGGATAATCAGCACTCGACCGTTGTAAAGCTCATTGAATAATTCTCCCTTTCCGGCCGGTCCTTGCAAGCTCCTATTCGTTTCATCTCTCTTCTCCGAATCGTAATTCTCGGTCCGTCGCGAACTCATGGCGATTGCAGCAGAGACTCAGCCTCAGCCCCCATCTTATGACAAGGTAGTCCGTAAGATAATATGATATGACATTTTTCTCTCTATCTCCCATCTTATAATAGTCGATTTCTCCATCGCATTGACGAATCCAGAACCTAGGGTTTCCGATTCAAGGTCGTAGATATTGTTACAGGTGTTTTTAATTCTTCTATGGGATGCATTGATTGTAATGTCCGACTTGGAAATAGAGAAAGACAAAAGATATCTGAAATTGTCAATGCGATTCTGGAACCTCCGGTTATTAACAAAGAGCGTAAAGAATTCGTGAATCGTGGAATTATATTTGTCGAAGACGTCAAATCTTGCTTCTCTTCTGTTTTTTTCATTCTTCTTAAGAGTGTCCTTTCCCCTGAATTTAAATTTTAAACTAGTTAGGAATAGGAATTTCAAATCAGGGTGGTCCAATCGAAGCCTTGGGCTCCTCCTGAATTCCGAATTTGTATAGTAGCCATTTGCGACAAGATCTTGCACTCGCATATGAGATGCGTGTTCGTCTTAACTCTTCTTTTTTCTTACTTCAATTTCAGGCTTCTTCTGAGGCTTCTGCTGTGGAGAATAGAAGGTGGACCCTCAACGACTTTGATATTGGAAAGCCTCTTGGAAGGGGAAAATTTGGTCATGTCTATTTGGCCAGAGAAAAGAGAGTAAGTTTTTCTTACTTTGATTGGCATTCTAACTGTTGCCTTTTTTTGGAAGAAATATCGGGTTATTATGTCTGGTAATGGTTAAATCAGATCTCTGCTACATTGAATTAGCTTATTCGTTTCACAGAGGTGTTTGTGTATCAGTTTGGCCTATAAATTTTTTCGCATTACCTGTATATACAAGTCATTGATTTTTTCGCTTTTTGCCATCCCTCAGGGTTCACTTCACTTGAGGTTATAGTTGCCTTTTTTTCGAAAGAAATATTGGGTTATTATGTCTGGTAATGGTTAAATCAGATCTCTGCTACATTGAATTAGTTTATTCGTTTCACAGGGGTGTCTGTGTATCAGTTTGGCCTATAATTTTTTTCACATTACCTTTATACACAAGTCATCGATTTTTTCGCTTTTTGCCATCCCTCAGGGTTCGGTTCACTTGAGCTAAGCCCAGTCGCCTGGGCAATGTTTATGTGGGGTATATGTCTTTGTAAAACACACATTTCATTTTACCATGCAAAACCCTTCATATCAATCTAATATAGTCACTTTTTTTCCCATTACATTTTTTATGCAATAGTTGTGAAAATTCACCTTTTCTATTTCTTTGTTTTGTCTGTGTAATTAATTAATTTGATGAAATATGTGCATCGGAAACAGAGTAATCACATTGTTGCTCTGAAAGTCCTCTTCAAGAGCCAATTGCAACAGTCCCAAGTTGAGCATCAACTTAGGCGAGAAGTTGAAATCCAAAGTCATCTGCGACATCCCAACATTTTACGCCTTTATGGATACTTTTATGATCAGGTTCCTCTTCTTCCTTCTGTGTTTTGCTGAGAAGGGGAGATAACGCTGCGTATTAACATATTGTCTATCATACTACTTTCCTGCAGAAACGCGTTTATTTGATTTTAGAGTACGCCCCAAAAGGTGAACTTTACAAGGAATTACAGAAATGCAAATATTTCAGTGAAAGACGTGCAGCTACTGTGAGTACATGTCATGCAACTGCGCTTATCCTTTCTATATCGTTCCTCCCCTGTGGAGTTTTTGTTGACGAATTTATGCGGTCTACTAACTTAAGTTTTATTTTTCTTAATTTGAATTGAATCAAGTGTACAAAACTGGAACTAGTTTGATAACTCGTCCAACTTCAGTGCTATAGAGTACAGAATGCATACTCGCGCCATCATGTGTGATAAATGATGAGGAGAATGCTATTGTCAGAAGACATCATTAACTGTTTTGCTGTTGATTCTTTTTGTCTTTTAAACGTTGTTTAGTTATGGTTTTTGTTTGTGATTTGAGCAGTATGTTGCTTCATTGGCCCGAGCCCTCATATATTGCCATGGAAAGCATGTAATACATAGAGACATTAAACCTGAGAACCTTCTTATTGGCGCCCAGGTGTGTTTATCTAGACTGTTGTTTCTTTCTTTCTTTCTTTTGTTTTGTTTTGTTTTGTTTATCTTGTGCTGATCACGTTATTTGTCAGGGTGAACTGAAAATTGCAGACTTTGGGTGGTCGGTGCACACATTTAACCGCAGGCGGACCATGTGTGGCACACTAGATTATCTTCCTCCTGAAATGGGTATGTATCAATGCGTTTGTTGATTTATATTTTTCATCCATTTTTATCATTACAAGCATCATTTTTTCCGATGTAACTCCTAATTTTCTTATTTTGATGCTTCAACAGTGGAGAGTGTAGAACATGATGCAAGCGTTGATATATGGAGCCTTGGCGTCCTGTGTTATGAGTTTCTATATGGAGTCCCTCCTTTTGAGGCTAAAGAACATTCTGAGACATACAGAAGGTAAGCATGAGAATCTAAACTAGCATTTGCATTATCCGTGGGACCTAGATAATCCTACTAGGTCTTTGTTTTCACATGATGACTAATTAAATTATATGATGAATGTGGAAGGAATCAAATTGATATTATGATGTCTTTCATTGTTAAGCATCTGGACATTCTGATCATATTTTGCAGAATAATCCAAGTGGATCTCAAGTTTCCTCCCAAACCAATTGTGTCCTCTGCTGCAAAGGACCTCATCAGCCAGGTCTCCTTTTTTGTGCTCTCACGCTTTTCCCTCTCAACATATTTTTGTCAATCACTTTGTCTGAGCATTTTTCCCTTTGCTACTTGTCGGCAACAGATGCTGGTGAAGGATTCCTCTCAACGTCTACCATTACACAAGCTTCTGGAACATCCGTGGATTGTTCAGAACGCAGAGCCCTCTGGTGTATACAAATGCTAGTATTTCATTCCCAAGATGGCAGCTTTCTGGATCCGGAAAGTGTAATGTAAACTGTCTGTACCAGTCGCTCGGTAGAGATGAGGTCTATTTGATATCCAGCATGTGTTACGTACGTATATTCTTGTCCCTCCATTGATATATGTTACTAGTTATTATTTGATTGTTGTAAGCCCTGCGGGGAGAAATCGGGAATTGACTTGTGATCTCTAGTTCAAAGTAAAATATGTTCGAGCGCTCATGCAGCCCCGAAGTTTCTTGTACTACCAAAAAGGGGAGCAAGTACTTGTACTCCAAATAAAAAGTATGTATATTTTGCGGAAGCAAACAAAATTTACGGAAAAATCAATCATTAAATTTTCATACTTTTGATTTGATTTATTTCAAAACCTAAAAGTTGTAACCATTTAATTTATTGGTCTCTTAAGTTTTTATTTTTATTTTTTATGCACAGGTATCTTTTTATTAGAAGCTTTGTTAAGTATTAAATGTGCATATATTTTCTAATAAAGACTGGTCATTATATTTTATAACTCCCTTAAAAGATTATTTTTTTTATTTATAAAAAATGTAGAGATTAAATAATGAAATGACCGAAATTTGAGGAAGTGAGTCATATGAGTTTAGAAATTAAACAATTAATTTTTCTAAATTTTAATTTAATTACTAGATTTTAGTAACTAAAGTAAGTCTAAAGATGAAGCAACAATACAAATTTTTGCCAAAGACTAAGAATTCGTATCAATTTCTCGGGTTAACCTCTTTTTTTTGTTTTTTTTGCCCTTTACATCCATTTCTCACAAGCAAATGCATCATAAGGCAAAAAGCTTTGAGATCTGGCGAATTAGCCGATCTCTGTGACAAGTTCAACTAATATATTTCGCATCGATATACGTACAAGTTAAGGGGTTGTACGGACTGCGGGTTGGGAGAAATTAGAACTTTCGTGGTTTTCTTATCAGGGAAAAAGACAAAAAAATGACATGTTAATTTGGGGATGACCAGAATGTCCGAACTTGCATAATCCCAATTTGATCATATAAGACCAAACTGGCATTATCTTGGCAAATGAAAAGACCAAATTGCCCTTCATTTTATTTATTGTTTTTAAAATACCAGAGTCCTCACTGGCCAGCCAGTGGCCGGAACTCCGGTGGTCGGCGAACAATTGGTCACCGGAGTTCTCGCGGTCAAAAAGAATTTTTTTTGAAAATTTTTACAACTTCAGTATAATAGTTAACCAGTTTTGTAACGCTATAGCAGTTAACAACTTTAGTATAGCAGTTAACAACAGGTTTTTTGGAAAATTCAACAAACTCCCGCGGTCGAAAACAATTTTTTTGAAAATTTTTACAAACAGTTAACAACTCTTATAACGCTATTAACAACTTCAGTATATCAATTAACAACAGGTTTTTCAGGAAATTCAATATTTAGTTGTCGGAGCTCTGGCGACCAGAAACAATTTTTTTAAAAATCTTTACAACTTCAGTATAACAGTTAACAACTTTTATAACGCTATTAACAACTCCCGTATATCAATTAACAACAAGTTTTTCGAGAAATTCAACAATTGCTCCGGTGATGGGAAACAATTTTTTTAATTTTTTTTAGAATTTCAGTATAATGGTTAACAATAGGTTTTTGAGTTCGTTAACGGTATTATTGAAGTTGTCAAAATGCTATTTGTTGAATTTCTCGAAAAACCTGTTGTTAACTGCTATATCAAAGTTGTTAATAGAATTATAAAAGGTATTAACTGTTAAACTGAAGTTGTAAAAATTTTCAAAAATAAGTAGTTGTTAAAGTTATAAAAATGCTATTTTTTTGATTTTTTAAAAAAACCTATTGTTAAATGTTATATCAAAGTTGTTAATAAAGTTATGGAATTTGTTAATGATATTACTGAAGTTGTAAATTGAATTTTTTGAAAAACTTATTGTTAATTGATATACTGAAATTGTTAATAACATTATAAAAGTTATTAATCGCTATACTGAAATTATAATTTTTTTTTTAAAAAAAGTAGTTGTTAAAGTTACAAAAATGCTATTTTTTGAATTTTTAAGAAAACATGTTGTTAAACACTATATATAAATTGTTAATAGAGTTATGGAACTTGTTACTGATATTATTAAAGTTGTAAAAATACTATTTTTTGAATTTATCAAAAAATCTGTTATTAATTGCTTGGAACTTGTTAATGGTATTATTAAAGTTGTAAAAATACTATTTTTGAATTTATCAAAAAATCTGTTATTAATTGCTTTACAAAAGTTGTTAACTATTATATTGAAATTATAAAAATTTTCAAAAAAAATTGTTTCCAACCACTGAAGCCCCGGCGACTAATTGTTGAATTTTTCAAAAAACCTGTTGTTAATTGATATACTGAAATTGTTAATAGCGTTACAAAAGTTGTTAATTGTTATACTGAAGTTGTAAAAATTTAAAAAAAATTGTTTCCGTCCACTAGAACTTGTTGAATTTCTCAGAAAACCTGTTGTTAACCATTATATTGAAATTGTAAAAAAATTTTAAAAATTGTTTTGGGTCGTCGGAGCAATTGTTGAATTTTCTGAAAAACCTATTGTTAATTGATATACTGAAATTGTTAATAGCATTACAAAAGTTATTAACCGTTATACTGAAGTTGTAAAAAAAATTTAAAAAATTGTTTCCGGTTGCCGAAACTTTGACAACCAATTGTTGAATTTCCTTTAAAATCTGTTGTTAACTGATATACTGAAACTATTAATAGCATTATAAAAGTTATTAACTGTTATACTAAAGTTGTAAAAATTTTCAAAAAAATTGTTTCCGGTCGCCGGAGCTTGTTGAATTTCCCAAAAAACCTGTTGTTAACTGCTATACTAAAGTTGTTAATAGCATTATAAAAGTAGTTAACTGTTATATTGAAGTTGTAAAAATTGTCAAAAAAATTATTTCTGACTGTCGGAGCTCTGGTGACCAATTGTCGGCCAGTCATCAAAGCTCCGGTGACTGCCTCCACCAGAGCTTCGGCGACCGGCCAACTAGTGGGGGCTTTCGTATTTTGAAAATAATAAATAAATGAATGACAATTTGGTATTTTCATTCCCAAGTTAACATGTCATTTTTTTTGTCTTTTTCCCTTCTTATTATCTATTTTTAGTTCTTTCGTTTAATTTTGAGCTCATTTATTTTGCTTTTGTTTTCCCCATAAATTTGATCGAAGTCCAATAGGGCTGAATACCTACATCCTTGTTTTGAGTTTTGGTTTCTTCATCTTCGACGGCTTGTTGTTCTCCCTATATATTTTATTAAGGTGCCGTGATGCTACAATAGGACTCTTTTCTCATGTGCTTAAGCAGGGTCCTATTCTACCTTACCATGTGAAATTTTTTGATTTTCCCAATAAATGGCCCAAAACTTAAAATATTTATCAGTCATGGCATAAAAATGATATAACGTGTTCCCGTATGAAAAAGGAAAATCACGAATAACCATTGAAACAATCAGGGGATTATCATGTAGCCCACTTGATGTGCAGAGGAATAAGCTCATAGATGGTTGAACACTTGAACTCCATTATCCAAAATAAATTAAGTCCACAATACTACCTCTGGTTTTTAATATAAAATTTTGTTTGACTTTTATTTTGATTCTAAATATAAGATCCCAATCCATTTTATCTCCCATATTTATCTATTTTTCTTCAAGATAATCCTTCTAATCATGATAGTTTTAACTAATATACTTGATTAACAAGAATATTTTAGAAAAACCAACACCGATTTGTTACAAATAATTAACTTAACTTATTTCCTTAATCTACTCAAATTAGTCAGCTAATTCTTATATTTAGGACTCAGGTAGTATATAGTTTAAAGCAATAGAAGTAGAAGTATTGAGTTAGATCAAACGTTGCTTTTAATTAAAAATTATGCACACAAAGTTTGATTGTATTAGTTGGGAGCAACTCCACTGAGATCGCATGTGGCCTTGACTGGATTTAAAATTGAAGATTTTTAACACCCAGGAGGGTCGTTGCTACGCTTATGGCGCTCCTAATACTTACAATGCTTTCCTTAAGAATGACAATTTTAATTGTGCTAAGTATACCAAATAAATCCTTAATCCGTCACAGGTTTATTAAATATCTAGTATCAGTGTTAAAAGTTAACTCCGTTCTCCCTACCCCCAAAAAAAAATGAAAAAAAAGAAAGAAAGCAACAGAAGCGTACATCTTCACTTCTTCACATTAAAATTTATTTTCATCCCATGAACTTATTTATTTTCATTTTTTATCTCGTGGCTTTTAAAATCACTAAATTTTTTTTAAAAGAATGACAAGAAGCAAGAGTTTTATTTCAGCTTTTAGTTTCATCTCTTAAATTTATTTAATTCTGTTTTTGATTCCTCAACTTTGAAGAGACACCATTAGTCCACTTAATGAAAAATACAGATGATATGACCAAGCTGGAACATGGCCATAATTTAAAAAATAAAAAAATAAATTGCCAATGTAAGAAAAGAAGTAAATCGCTTACTCTTCAAGCTATGTTCCCCCGCATATGGTAGCAGATGAAGAAGCTGATGTCTACTTGTTTCCTTTCTTCTCCGTCGTGATATGGTTTTTGGCATTATTTTCTGACGGTTGTTTATCCTCACATTCGTCCCTGTCCAACAACAGAGTGATGGGCAGCTCCTCCTCCTTAGTTTCATTAACATCTTTTGGACTTATAAAGCTTGGCTGGTTGGTCGAAGAAAGGAGTCTTGCCCACATTCTATCAGTAATTACAACCTTGTTCTGCCTCTCAATGATTCTCTGGGTGCCAAATTTTGGATATGATATCGTTTTGTCAGAAACGATTCTAATCTTGTTCATATACCAACTCTCTATAGAAACTTTAGGAAGAGCAGAGAAGAAAGCAAGCAAGCATTATGCTCTATTGGCTGTTTTTCATCACCATCCTTCTGGATTAGTGGTGAACTCGTATGAAAAATGGAGGACCATTGCTTCACTCAGACGCATGCAGTGAAAAAATGTTATACATTGTTACAATAGCATAAGGTATAACTCACATTAAATGGAATATATGTATGTCTTCCATTGACCAGGCCGGTTGTGAAGCCAGTATACCCTGCCATTGCCCCATGAACTGCACTCTGAGCAAGAAGTGTGCAATAGACATTGTCTGATGCATTGCTTGGAATCGCCCGGATCATGTAAGTAGGATCTGACAGATAACTCAGTTAAGTACTCCTAACCTCTAACTTTCATCCCTCCTCATATGTAGATTTGGGTAACTAAACAAAGAAGTCAATTAGGGGGAAATAGGGAAGAGGACAAAATTAGAGAAACTGACCTATATATTTAAGAGTGATGGGCATCTTATTTTGCCTTGCAAAGTGGTCCTATTGTAGAAAATTAAATGTTCAGCTGAAAATTAAAAAAAAAAAAAAACACTGGTGGACACAGAAAAAACGTGAAAGAATAATTAACTGTGTTCGCATTATGCAATATCTCTAATACATGGAAGTTCAGTAAAACAATCATATATTAAGAGCATTCTTGATCATATGAAGTACCTTAATCTTCTGAGATATCCAGAGGCCGACATCTTTAAGTAGCTTGTTTCCAGAGGCATCTTTCTCATCCATGGCGTCAAGAAGATCTTGCCCTGCTCCCTCGGCTATGACTATAACCATATGTCCATTTTCTTTTAGTCTCTTTTCAATAAATTCATAAAGTCCACCCTTTCCTTCAAGGTAGAATGGTGACTCTGGAATCAGGCAACAGTCCACATCTCTACTAGCAAGAGTGGCATACATTGCAATGAAACCTGAAGGCACAAGTACCCATGATAACATAAAAAACAATGAACAAAAAGGATTCAAAGAGAGTAAACGATAAACAGTGATTCATTTATATTTGGATTAGGGGACTTAGGGTCTGCAAAATCTAAATTAGAAGCCTATGAGATATCGGTGAATCAAACCCAAATGTGAAGTGTACCACTGTAGCGTCCCATTAGCTTTACAACTCCAATTCCATTCTCAGTACTACTAGCCTCAACATGTGCTGCGTTGATAGCACGTTGAGCCTCCTCAACGGCAGTATCAAAACCAAAGGACTTGTCAATAACCTAAAGCAAAGAAAGGAAATTGAAGTTAATTTTATTAATAATAAACTCCTCTGGCAAAAGTAGTGATGATAAAAAGATTTCATTATAAATAAATTAAAACCATGTGATTAAGCATACCGGGATGTCATTATCTATGGTTTTAGGAATCCCAGCAATCACCACTTTGAGACCTCGCCGTCTGACTTCCTGTATGATAACCAATGTCTGTTTAGAATGCTTGCCTCATATAACGAAAGATGGTAGGAACGATATTGGGACAATCAGACTATTTCACCACTCCATATTGCTTTTAGGTCATATTCACCCACATGTTCAATTCGAATTTCCACCAAGCTGAACCCAAGTATCGAGGGCCATTTATTGCACTATGTACCTCGTAAACATTTTTGGCAACCGGTTTTATGTACAAGAATTTATTGCCTTAATTGCTTTCTAAGGAGTACAATATCAGAAATAACAAAGGTATAAGGATAACTAGACTTTAGAATTAAGTTATTAAAGCACTATTCACCAATCAACCAATGACTTAACCGCGTGAACAAACAACAAAAGGCAATTACACACACACATTTTAGCGTCAAAGTACCATCTAAAAACTACATTGGATTCTAATCTGGATTGAACCAGTAGGACTACAAAGGCGGCAAATATGATGATGCAGATGATATGTACACATCCAGATGCATATTAGTAAGAATATATATATTAAAAATATTTCTTCTTTGAGTGAAATAAATGTCCATCTTAATTGACCAGGGGGAGAATTCTAACATGACATCTTTTGATTCAGTGTACCTCATAAATCACAGCTGCTCCTCTCTGAGTTCCATCTCCTCCAATAATGTAAACCTTTAACCGTAACTAAAACAGTAAGCACTCATGCCATAACAATAACCTGCTCAGAGATCTTTTTTCTGAATGTGTTAAGCACATAGCAAACCTGATTAATTCCGCGATCCTGGATGCTGTCAACTATCTTAGTCTTATCATGGCCTCCTCTTGATGTTCCAAGAATTGTACCTCCACGCTTGTGAATATCATTGACCACCTTGGGTGTTAGAGTAACAGTATTCTTGGAATAGAAACCTTTATAACCCCCCTGTATGTATATAGCCAGATTTAGGTTGGTGGTGAAACTGAATCACTAAAGTCTTATTAATAAATAACAGCAAGCCATTTTACACAGGAAAAAAAAAAAAAACAGCAAACCACCCAATCCCAGGTGAAAATCCAAATGTTGGATTTGTCTATTTTCTCAATTTAGCTTGATTATGTTATATCAATCAGCTGTCATAACCTTATGAATGTGTCATTTTTGTTCATGCGCATATTTTACTTTGAAAAGAATTGATCAAGGAAAAGTGCTGCTAACGTACTCGAAAGGAAAAGATAATGAATTGAACGTGAAGTAAAAGAGTTTAGCACTCACATCTATACCAATGACCTTGTGGACACCGTACATGTACGAAAGACCACACACAATTTCCCTTATGACGGTATTGAGCCCAGGGCAGAGACCACCGCATGTAACAATACATGCACGCACGTCATCCGAGTTAAAATACACCTGAAATAACAGCAGCATATTCATTGATTCAAATCTCAACAATAATAATAACTAAATACAGAAAGGCAAATTACCCTTTGGCGGGCTCCGGCTCGTCGAAAATGTACTCCTCTTGGACTATCCTTGTGAACAACAATCTATTTGAGAGGCCAACAAAAGATGTAATCATTGGCATCATGTTATAATATTATTGGAAAACAAGAACCTAAAAGAAAATTTCTCTTCTGCTCTATAAAATACAGAAGGTTAAGAAATGAGCTGATCAGGTGACGGAAAACTGTGCTGCTTAAGCATGATTGCACAATTAATAGAGTATGATACAACTAAGATGCAAAAGTGAACCTTCTGAGGAATCGTGTCATCGACGTGAACAAAATATTGCCTGATAACACAAAAGAAGCCGCATCATGAGCCAATACATATATATATATATATATATATATTTTAATCAACAGACCCAATATATGTTGAATTAGAACCAGCAAGTAGTTTAGAATATCACATCCGAAAATCACAATAGTGGAACATTTCACTTACTTAACGACAGAGTAAGCTGGATTAGATCGCAGCGGATTTGGGTATGTCTGCAAGCACAAACAAACACTACTATATTTAAAGCAGCATTGATTTGATTTCTTTAAACAAAGCGTAAAGAGAGGACATAATAAGAAGAGATACAGGAAGATTAGGAATATAGTCGGAGAAGTGAGGAACGTCTTCGAGTATAAAACCAGCCTCGCCATGGACAATCTTCATCCCCGAATCATTTGATCCCATTCTTCCAACTCAAGAAGATAGAAATCAACCAGGGCCGATGGTTCCTTTCCAAAGTGTTCCTGTGTTTTATTCTAGTTCGATCTCGAATTGATACAATGCCGTATTTGGAGCGAGGAAAGAGAAATGAGTGAGATGCTTCAGTTTTGATAGTTATTAGATGGCTAAGGAGTATCCTGCAGTTGAATTGAAGAATTGAATATTTGGAAAATATTTGAATCCATCGTAAAATGTGCCGTTCCTTGCAATGTGACATTGACGTTAGGATTGAGTGTTGGTCGCAGAATGGTTCAAGAATCCGATGTTTATGTATTCGTCATCGAGCGTGGGCGGTGGGCAACAAAAACAGGTGGCGGCATTTAATTAACGTCCATGATCCTGTAAAAGCGTCACGTGGATGGATTTTGTGCAAAAAAAATCTCCCATCTTCCATTGAAATTTTTTTTTTGGGGGCCAAATTTAGCCATCCCTACTGCACACTCTCAGTCTCTTCTCCTTTCTCCATCGAAACTTGCCCTTATTGGGCCCTTATCACAAATGACTTGCGGCCATTTGGTATCATATATCTCTTCTTTCCCTCTCTTTCTGCTCCCTTTCAAATCTCCGCTTGTCTGCCTATGTACAATTTTATTTTGGTCTTCTTTCTCTGCTTTCTCTGTTTCCCTTCATTGCGTATTAATTTTTTGGGCTGATAATCATATAAAATCTATGATTTTTAATTGACTACTGCAGATCCTTTTTCCCTTCAAATTATAGACCTAGATGGAGGATTTCTAGAGGGATAAAAAGATACTGTTTGATCGGTAAGTTAAGCATGCCGGTGAGTCAAGAAGTCCACAGAATGCACAAGATGGGGGAAAAAATTCTAATTATAAGTTCTCATTTATAGATTACAAAGGAGATCTTATAATTAGAATTGGAGGTAGTATAACATACAATACAACGATAATAAAATAAAAGATGCGATGCCGTTGGCCAAAAAAAAAAAAAGGATGCGATGCAACATCTGAGAAGCATATTTCCCGAGATCATTAGCTCTAAACACCTTTCCAGTTGGAATTGAGGTCATCAATGGGAACACATCGAACAAATAACCAAGATCCAATAGGGGCCGCCACTGATTCATAGTTTTATCTTCAACTTTGAATTCTATTCATGTCAAGCTTTGGGGAACCCTGTGCCAAACAACACCTCCGTCTGACTTTTGGCTGCCAAAATAATCCAACTGCAGCGGAAGAAGATAGATTGTGATTCTGACTATAGCTTTTGAATAATGATTAACGAAACAAATATGTGAGAAAAGTTTTATCTTGATTTACTAATCATGTTTATAAGTATTTTCAAACGCTATCATCATCTTATCCTATTCCTGTTTGCCAAGGGCCCTAGTCATTTGAATAGATACTCACCCAAATGAACCAGAGATCTCTTGTCACTCTGTTTCACTACCAAAAGTCATTACAAGAGCATGTGCCTTTTATGAAATGATGGAACCGAGTACGGTCACGCACAATAATTTCTCTCTGAACAAGTTGAGAGATCATCTTTATAGCATCATGGCAGTCTTCGCAAACTCGCAGATTTTTTACTATTCTAATTGTCGTTCCTTGACCAGTACTAATTAGCCCAAATGCTGTTGCCAACCTCTCGCTGTGAATGGATAAAGCATCCTCCTTTTCTTCTTCATCCACATTATGTACCACAATGTCTGTCTTAGGTTTGTATCCAGCTAGCTTCAATCTCCATCTTAATTCTCTAATCATTAAACTAATCTTTTCCGACTGCGGATGTGAGTCCAAGTCTCCCATGAAGAACTCATGAACAGTATTATCCACCTCTATCCAACTACACCCAGGTGTTTTTATTACTCCGTTATCTCGCATTCTCAACCTACACTTAGCTGCATCATCTAGCCTTCCCTTTGAAGCATGTATATTAGCAATATAGACATAGCTTCCAGAGTGGTCAGGATCCAGTTCCAGAATGCGTTGAGCTATGCGAACACCTCTCTCTGCATCTTTATATATCCTACACCCACCAAGAAGTAGAGCTGGTAATACGGGCTGGGCCTGCCCGCCAGCCCGCCAAAAATGACGGGCTTAGGTTGGCAAAATGTCAGCCCGCTAAGGTGTGGGCTTCTCCAACCCGCACCGTTTTTAGCCCGTTCCGCAGCGGGCTAGCCCGCCAACTAGCCCGCTTTTTTTTTTTTAAAATTATAATTTTTATATAATTTCTAATATGTTATACAACATAATTGGAGGATTTTAACCCCCAAATTTCATATTTACATCTTCTCATCCATGTAATTGCATATGTAATACATACATAAAATATCTATTTAATTAATTTGGATAAGAAAAATAGTCAAATTAATTATTTAGGAAAAAATATGTGTTAGTTTTCTAAAATATCTTCTCAAATTATAAATTAATCCTCACATTATTTTATTATAACTCATTACTCAAGTTTAAAACTTCAAGTCTAATTTTAACATTACAAACTAAGTTCAAACTTATACAAATAATAATTTTTTTTTAAAAAAAAAAGTTAGGCGGGCCAGCGGGCTTTTGCCAGCCCGCCAAAGTGCGGGCTACTTCAGCCCGCACCGCTGCGGGTTGGCCCATATCCGCACCGCCAGCCCGCATTCCCAGCTCCACCAAGAAGTGCACCCCAAACTATGACATTAGGCTCCATAGGCATTGAGATGATCAAATTCTCAGCTTTTTTTAGATGACCAGTGCGGCTAAGAAGATCAACCACGCACCCGTAGTGTTCAATCTTAGGAGAAATTCCATACACTTGGTCCATCATATGAAAATAGTCCAGCCCCTCATCACCCAGTCCAGCATGCGTACATGCTGTTAGTAGCCCCATGAAAGTTATATCACAAGGCCTCATTCCATGTTCAATCATTTCTCTAAAGCAGATGAAGGCTTCATTTGCATGCCCGTGCATTGCTAAGCCGGTGATTATAATAGTCCAAGAGGTCACGTCTTTTTCCTGCATTGAATCAAAAACAAGCCTAGCATCCACTATGCATCCACACTTTGCATACATATCAGCCAGTGAGTTGCCTAAAAACAGACTCAGCTTTATCTTGTTTCGCTTTATAAATCTATCAATCCACTTCCCTAAATCAAGTGCTCCAAGCTGTGCACAAGCAGACAATACACTAACGAGTGTAACATCATTGGGCACCAGATTACTCTGTTGTTGCATTTGGTGAAATAACTCTATAGCATGGGAATACTTCTCATTTTGGGCATAACCAGAAATCATTGCGTTCCATGAAACTCCATTTCTCTCTGGCATTTTATCAAAAAGCTGGCGTGCTTCATATAACTTGCCCATCTTTGCATAGCCACTAATCATCGTCGACCAAGAAACCGTGTTTTTCTCACCCATCCCATCGAAAATCCACCTTGCCTGATTGGTGTTTCCACTTAAACAATGACCAGAAAGTAAAGTGTTCCAAGATACAATATCTCTAAAAATCATCTTATTAAATAGCTTCTGAGCATTCCCAAGCTGACCCACTTTAAAAGATAAATCCACCAGCGAGTTACACACAAAAAGGTTTGATTCGCATCCATATTTAGTGACAATGCAATGAACCTTTTCACCTTCTACCGGCCAGGCAAGTCCAGCGCATGCCTTGAGAACGGAAGTGAACGTGTACTCATCTGGGTTTGGAGCATCAGGCGTTAACAATTGCTTGTTGAAGTGATATATCGTACCTTGCCAGAGATTGTTCTGAGCAAATGCTTTGAGAAGGGCATTGTAAGCGAAGATATTTGGGTTTGAAAGGTAATGAGTGAAGATTAAAGCACCGTGGTGCGCATTAGCGCGGGCGCCACATACCCCTATGAGCTTAACGGCGATGATGTTGGGGTCAATAGATTTAGAATCGGGAAATAGAGGGAAAACGAAAAGTTGGGCCTGAATTTGATAAAGTTGACGCATGGTTAGCTGTGCACCGCATTTTAGCACCAAGTGAATGGATTTGGAGTACTTGCAGTGGTGTAATAAAGCCAGGGTGGTTATGATGTACTACTTCATGTGATAATTATAAGAGTTCATTTGTAATCCAGAAATAGTAATAGCTAATTTTGCACTTCTGACACCGGAAGGAAGAGCGGTGCCGACCCACGGGAATGAGTTATGACGAAGAAGAAGAAGAATTAGCGGTAGCGGACAGTCAAGGTTGTTAATAGAAGCGGATGCATGAGATTTTAATATAAATGGAGGGAAATGGATGGACTCTTGACCCAGGAGGCAAGCGGAGGGAAGCCAGCTTCAGCTGCCCCCGCCAGATTTTTCGTGTCCCGGAGTAGGTTCTTAAAACACTATGGGGATGACGAGAAAGACGACAAATAGACGACTGTCTCATGGCCTCTAGCACATGTCAAGCCTCAGTTGGCACGTGCACAACACAAGTACTCTATTTATTTATTTTATTTGTTTAAAAAACACGTCCTTAATATAAGAATTAATTTTTGAGTTAGTTTTAATTTTGAATATAAAACTCATTTATTATATTTATTAATTTTTTTAAAATTATCTTTATAAATATTCTCTCAACCACAAGTAGAAGAGGGAAAAAAATATTAAAAAAGATAATTATAATATTTTAAGAAAAATATATTACTTTTCTTATAGTTAATTAATTTACTTAACTTTTTTAATTTAATTAAATTAGTTAAATAAGTATTATATTAAATATCATAATATTAATTAAGACAATTTCATCGCCAACTGGGAAATTTGTAGGCCGCCACGAGCAAAACCGCTCTTTGCTTTGCTTCAGAGGTGGCTCGGTTCAAGGAACCTGGCCGCGGAATAGGTCATAGCGAAATTCTACCACGTCTCCTGCTGTGGCACTTTATAAGAAGCACAGAGATTGTCTTGCAGTTAATCTTGGGAAGGGAATAGAATGGGTATTCCGTCCGAGCTCAGGGATATGCTCTCGCAGACAAAAGGCTTCTTAATTGCTTCTCCAGCTGAAGAGCAGAAGATTTTGAGGACTAAGCTATGCACTGATGGTATCATTATTTTTTATTTTATCTGATTTGAGACTTGTTCGTATTGTAGATCATTTACATGGAGCGTGCTCTCTTTGTTTTCTGAGAAATCTTGGGAAATGGTGGGAATTGAAATGGGGCGATTTATATTTTTGTGGTTCATCTTTTTTCGGAGTTTAATTGTGTATTTTAAACAAGATCCCTGTCTACTTGATTGGTTTGAATGGGAACCACGTGATTAATGATGTTATACGAATTGCTTGTTCTCTGATTTGCTCACCGAAATTTATCTATTAAATTTAATCATCATCTTTCATATACGTTTAAATAACACTTTACCCTTATTGAATTTTCATGAAAGTGTATCTCTCTAGTTGATTTAGAAAGGCAAATAACAACTGCTTTGATTGATGAGGGATCTCCTCATAATAACCAAGAAAATAGGGAAACTAAGAAGCTGGACATCCTGCTATATTATTTTAACATCTTGTCAAATGACGCTCTAAACTGGACATCATCATTCATGTTATCCTTTGCTTCAATTTCAGAAGGAGTTCGTGCTGGATTTAGGGCAGCTTCCATTGCTTGCATTGCCAGTGCTGTTCCCACGGTATATTTTTTACTTTTTAGATTGTTGGTCTCTTACTTCTAATGGCGGTGCTGAACCTCTTTTTAGTTAGAGTTTTCTTTTTTAAAGGATATCTGTTTGTTTTCTAGGTGTAGCATTTTCTTTTTGTGATGAGATACTATATTTTGGTGATCTTGCTGTCATAAATCATGCGAATAATTGGCGTTAAAAAAAAATCATATTAGTAAAGTATTTCTGATAAGTCTGTGTAGTTCTCCCCTGGGGGAAGTAACTTAACCCTCAGTGTCATTCATTAATTAACAATCACTAGTTAAAAGTTGGAATTTTTTCTTCTTGTTCTGATCCTTGCCTTTGAGCGATCAAAATCATGATATCAGCAATTTTAAATTCCATGTCTAAATTCTTTGTTCGTTAGACAGCTGTTGAACAGTTTGGTATTGCTCTGTTTTTCTACATCATTTCTTTTGTGGCCATATTTGACTGCCCGAAATTGCCTGTATGCTGTCAGCTCACAATCATATAGTGATGTGGTGAAATTATTGAGCATCTTAATGCCAATACACCACAGATGTCATTGTCATGTAGGAAAAACATTGTTAAATTGAACTTTCACATGACAGGTTTGAGTAGAGACTTTTTTGAAGTTTCGGAACTAATCTTCTGGGCTACAGACTTCTGGCACTTAATCAAGAGTGTGATGTGGAAATCTAGTGATTACTGATGCATGAACGTTTGGCTGTCACTGACAGTGATATGTCGCGCGTGAAAATAGCACCCAATTTTGCTTCATCTCTAATATTATATTCTTCTATTGAAGTTTATTTCATTCTTGTCTTCAATTTTCAGTTGGTTGCAGTCCGTACAGTTCCCTGGGCTAAAGCAAACCTCAATTACACTGCTCAGGCACTTATTATTTCTGCAGGTATGATGTCAAATTTATATAGTTCTGAAAAAGGTTTACCTTAATGCTGAAATTCAATCATGAAGGACTAGGATTCATTTTGTGCTGCTGATCTATTTGGGAATAAAACGCGTAACCTATTTACTTGTCCCTCCCGTCATCCGAAGTTTGAATTCATTCACATAATTAACATCAGATTCTTGTTTCCTGAACAGCTACAATTGCTGCGTACTTCATCACTGCTGATAAGACCATCTTGGAATGTGCAAGAAAAAACTCCCGGCTTGAGGACTCTTTGAGACGCCAAAGATAATCAACAATTCTAACTTCAAAACCACAACTTGGACGTCCTTGTCACAGTTCTACTTCTTGTAATGGATCTGCATCTGACTAGCCCTACTGCAAATTTTTGTTTTCCTCTTTTGTATGAGCTTATAGATTTGTGTTTTTGAATAAAAAATGTGTACCATGGAATTTCCATTTCCTGTGGCTACATGAAGTGTAATTTAAGCTGCCCTTTTTTGGCATTGCCTTGTTTTCTGTGTTCGCTATTTACTCACCCTGGCTAAACATTCCGCCTGCTACCTATGACTATTAACCAGAGCGAATCGTAATTGGAAAAATTCAGTGCCGATACACTAAAAAATTATTCGATTGAAAGAGTCATCAGCTTGGTCTTTTGTTATTTATGCACGATTAAATGGATTGAATGGTCAAAATATGTGCAGCAAGAGATGAAAGAAAGAAATAACCGTCTTCAGTGATGAAAAAAGCATGACTGAAACTAGGATGCCTTTGATCTGTATTATTACACAAACCTGCCAAAATGCCTGTTAAAAGAGCATCGTAAACAACCTTGTCAATTAAGTTTCAGGTTCATTCCAAAGGAATCTCGTTATGCAACGAAATTCAAGATGCTTCGTGCGAAGGCAGAGACAGTTCGTTTCGAGGTAGGTGATCCACCCCTACCCCCCAACGTGGGTTTGTTTTAGGATTTTAGTTGTCTGATGTTAAGCTTGGATTCAAAACTTTATTTGGCAAGATCTAACATGCCAACGGACTGGGCTCGACATACGGATGAAATTCCAGCGTACCATTCTCATATTTTGTTGTTATTTGATACCCCTATATGGAGACAAAGCATAGAATTTGGAAACATAGATAGTGCCTGGCATAACCTTAGGAAACCACACTAGATTCAATAGAATGTACTATAAAATGACGATCTTAAGGTGCAACGAAAAGGTAACTGAGAACATTATAATATGAAGAGCTTATAGTTCTGGTTAAATTTTCTCGTACAAAAACACTGCATAACCTTCTATGGCATGTCTATATTAATATCCCACTTCACTTTTCTGTTTAGGGTCAGAAATACAGGGGAAAAGCCCTTACCCACCTAGCTTCTTCCTTGATCCTCTTGAGAGTTTCGATGGATACAGTTACAGCTACAGACAAGAGAAGCAAAGCTACCAGCCCTAATGTAGCTTCTGCAAAAGAAATCCCTGAATCTGCATTCGTCGTATCCTGTTGTAAAGACTCAAGCCAGTTTTTGGAATCAACATCGTCATCACATTCATCAGATGCATCCTCATTGTCTTTGTCATCCTCGTCCTCATTTTCAGATGAGCCTCTGCATGATTTTTCAGAGATGTTGGCTCAACTTCCCATCAAGTAAGTGCCTTGAGAAAACTTCGAGCCTTTTGGGCATCATGCTTAATTTAAATTTTGTATATTCCTTTGCTCAAATGAATCCCTTTGTGTAATCTGCAGGAGAGGGCTTTCCAAGTTCTACGAAGGTACTCCCTCCGTTCCTTATTATAAGAGACAAATAACCGAATTACGTGATCAAAAAAGCAGTCAAAATTAGTTAAGAACAATCAATGTGTAAAAAATATAATTTTTTTCCCAAAAATACCCTCATTAATAAAGAGAGAGAGTATGAGAGAGAACAATTAAATTATTAAAAGAAAGAGAAGTAGGAGGGAGAGAAAGTGTGAGTTGGAGACAATAAATATGGGTAAAATAGGAAATCAACACAAAAAAGTAGAGACAATTTTTAAGTGTTTCTTATATATAGAAACATGCCATAAGCATCAAATGTTTCTTATAATAAAGAACGGAAGGAGTAAATCCAGAGCCTTCACATCCCTCTCAGACGTGAAATGTGTGGAAGATTTAGCGAAGCGGCAAATTCCTCAAAGGAAGAGAGCTCAAAACTCGCACAGTCCCAAGGCAGTCATATCAAAGAAGGCTTCGAAGAGCTATTTAAACGTCTCTAGTGTCTAAATGGAGTTAGTTTCCAGCAGCTTTTATTAGGACTGGTCTTAATAGTAATTACAGCTAGAGGCAGCAAAGCATATTACCAAATTGCTTCTACTTCTGGTTCAGGTCCCATTTATGGAAGAAAGAAAATAACATTATCTCGCTGAATTTAAATCATCTTTCATCC